GTACTTGAGCAAGTGAAGCCAGGAAATCAGGCAGATACAAAAAAAAGTCTTCATCCCACATTCCTGCTCCTAAAACCATTTTTCCCATTGACATAAAGAAAAAAATCCAGACCCTAATTTTCAAAATTGCATTTAGTAATCCTCATGGTCCCAAACTTTCTACACTGTTCTTCACATCTGGCTGGAGTTAGACTGTACAAGGATCAAGGAATAAATTGTCATTTAATTTTTATAAGTAATGAAATGGGATGCTAAAAATCTGCTAGAAATCTCTCCACATGAATCTAGGAAGTGCCAAATGTAGTTTTATTTAAAACTTGATAGAAAAAACAAAGCAAGTTAGTTCAGATAAGCAGTCAGTCTTGTTCTGTATAATTCGATTCGAAGCTGAACTTTAGGTTTACAATGACCAAACAGTAACCAGTCTGATTCCTGGGATGGCAGGGCTAACAAATGAAAGGAGATTAGATTGGTTAGGACTATATTCACTGGAATTTGAAAGAGTGAAGGGGAATCTCACAGAGCCCTTTAAAATTCTAACAGGACTAGACAGGGTAAATGCAGGAAGAATGTTTCTGTTCACCAGGCAGTCTAGAACCAGGGATCACAGTCTAAACATATGGGGTACGCCATTTAGGACTGAGATGAGGAGAAATTTCTTTACCCAGAGAGTGGTGAGCCTGTGGAATTCTCTGCCACAGAAAGCAGTTGAGGCCAAAGCATTGAATGCTTTCAAGAAGGGTTAAGGTATATGTCTTAGGCCTAAAGGGATCAAAGGGTATGGGACAAAATTTGGAACCCATTACTGAGTTAGATGATCAGCCACGATCATATTGAATGGTGAATCAGGGTCAAATGGCCTCCTCCTGTTCTGAAGTTTTATGTTTCTACGTATCTACGTTTCAAACTATTTCATTTGTCTGTTGAAAATTCAAGGCAGTTGACCACCTCTTTTATCAGTTCTCAGGTAGACATCACTTTGACCAGTGGCGGTGTTTCCAGTTGCATCCTGCGTCTGAACTGTAACTTCAGTTGAAGCCCAGTTTTTGTCCATTCATTCAATCTATCTATATCCCCTTCCAGATTCCTTACATCCTCATCACAACTTGCCCGCCCACCTATTTTTGTAGCATCAGCAAATTTAGATACAATACGCTCTATTCCCTCCTTCAAGTCATTAATATAGATAATAAATAATTGAGGCCCCAGGACTAATCGGTGTGGCACTCCACAAGTTACATGTTTCCAACCACAAAAAGGCCAATTAAGCCTGATTTATATCTTCTGAATGATAACAAGTCTTCAATTCATGCTAGTACATTACCCCAATACCATCAACTCCTATTTTGTACTATTACTTTTCTGTGGCACTGTCTTCTGAAAATCAAATACACTACATCTACCAGCTCCCCTCTTATTAACTCTGCTTGTCACATCCTCAAAAAACGCTAAGAAATTTGTAAAACACGATTTTCCTTTTATAAAACCATGTTGACTCTGTTTGGTTGGGTTAAGCTTTTCTAACTGTCCAGCTATTGATTCCTAATAATGGGCTCTAGTATTTTCCTGAAGACAGATGCTAGGCAAATTGGTCTATAGTTTCCTGCTTTTTATCATGATCCCCTCTTGAACTGGGTATCACGTTTGCTTCTTTCAATCCACTGGAATCCTCCTGGAAATCAGTAAATTCTGGAATATTTAGTTCAATGCCTCCATTATTCCTGTAGCCACTTCATTTAAAATATTTGGATGTCAACCATCAGATTCTGGTGACTTGTCTTTCATCCCACTAGTTTGCCAAACCCCCGTTGCTTGTGATAAGACTGGTACAAGATTTTTCCTCCAATTAATACCTTACTTATTTGTTATCATCATATTTCAATAATTATATAATGTCCTGTTAAATGCCTCAGTTGAACCTGCCTCCACCACATTTCAAGGCAGTGTATTCTATACCTAACCAAAAGGTAAAGTGACCATAGTCCTACCAGACTACAGGGTGGCTCTTTCAATAGAGAGAGATAACTAATGGTAGTTTAACCTGAGGGTCATCATACCTCAAGCAAAAGGAAAGGTTGAGAAGGACAGTCCTTCATGGTAATCTCAGTTAGTGTGGGAATCGAACCCATACTGTTGGTGTCTACCTGCATTAAAAACCAGCCAACTAAGCTAACCGACCCCTTTATCTGTGTGAAATCTTTTCCTCACTCACCTTTGCTTCTTTTGCAAAACATTTTAAAACTGCGTCCTCTCATTCTCAATCCTTTTACAAGCGGCAACAGTTTCTCTCTACTTGTCTGTCCAGATTCCTCATGATTTTGAAAACTTCTATCAATTCACCTCTGAACTTCTTCTCTCTCAGGAAAACAGTCCCAATTTCTGTAATCTATCCTCATAAACGAAGTTTCTCATCTCTGGAGAAATTCTTGTAAATCTCTTTTGCATTCTCTGGATTTATATCCTTTTTATAAGTGTGTTGCTCAGGACTGCACACAATACTCAGGTCTCAGCAGTGTCCTATATAATTTTGTCACAGCCCCCTCCTCCTGTACTTGCTGCCCTTATTAATGAAACCTAGAGTACTGCACACTTCCCAGCTGTCCCTACCTGTCCTGATGCCTTTAATGACTTTTGCACAAATACATCCAGGTCTGTCTGTAGCTGCACACCCTTTAGAATAGTACCCTTTGTTTCCTACTGACTTGCCACAACCTCATACCTCTTGGCATTGAACTTCATTGGCCACTGAAACAGGAAAGATAAAATGGAGGAGAGAAGGAAAATAAAGAGATAGAGCCAGAGAGAAACTGCCAGAATTAACCTAATTAATTAGCTAGTTAATGGCCACTTGTGCCCCCCCGAACCGTGACGGTGGGGGGAACCAACAGATAAACCATAATAGTTCCAAGGGGAGGCCTTTCTTATTGCACAATCTGTGGCCCATGGAATGTCTGCCTCTACAGTTCTGATACTGATGCCTGGGGGATTCATACATCTGAATGCTGAGGCCTCTCTGCCTGGTCTCAGCCCAAACAAAAACACTTAGCTGGTTTTCAATCTTCACTAACATGAGGGCAGATTCTTTGTCACCTTGCAGCCTCCGCAGCAGCCACCTTTCATGTGATCCTGCCAAGGCTGTTGAGCTGCCAGCTCACTGACTTGCTTGAAGCTCTCAGAAGCTGTGGGACTTCCTTGATTCACATAAAATTTTGATCACAAGGACAACAGAAATACAGTGCCGCAACTTGTTGTGAATAATAAATGGCTCAGAAGATAAATGGAAGAATCCCTCAAAGCATACTCTTATGCAGACAAGTTAAAATAAAAGTCTGGGACAAATGTAGTTAAGAAGCTAATGTGTTAGCCTTGGTAATGTTTCACCATCGCCTGTAAATAAACAAAAGAAGCCAGACCCATTGTCCTGGTAAGTATTCAATTTTACAAGATCCTGCTTACTGTTTGGACCTGTGCCTGAACAGCTGCAGTTCATACCATAGATAAGCCATTTAACAATCTGTAGCTGATTCTGTAATCTGTACTCCTGTTTAGAGAGGCCGTAGGAGGAAAACCAACTGGAATACTTAAAATGTACAATACGAAATCTATTGGCCTGGGCCACATAAAACATTGTACATTTTCACAAAGCTAGTCTCAAGATTCCACGATAGGAACTAATTACTAAGTCATATGGGGTATAAGCCAGGACTGTGGGGCTGCTCTTAAATTTTGGTCATCCTTAAGCCCTACGCTCCTGATTTATTGGCAGGTCCCTCAGGGAGGGGTGGGGGATTGGAGGGCCTTCTTGTGGGCCGGCTCCTAGGCCTGGTCAAAGTGGACATTAACAGGCTCAGTCAGCCGATTGTGGAAGGGTCATTGTGCTTGACTGCCTGCCCTTCTTTCATGGTTATGTCCAAACTCAAGTATCCATTGGGGGGAAACATGCAATGTTGACTGGTACGCTAGAGGCCTTTATAAACAACTGGGCACTGCAGGAGCTGAGGTGCATCATCACTGCAGACAATGATCTTTCCATTTTGTAAGTTTTTGTTCACGTTTTATAAGTTTCTGTTAACAATTTGATTGTGTTTTTGTGACAATGTCTCGTCAGGGGCTGTTTAACCTGATTTTAGGTTTTTGTAAAAGTATAGTAATGTGAAGTAAGCTTATCGTGAAGTGGCAGCTGACTTTTCACTGTGCCACTTGTTATTTTACACCAACTAAAAAATTATTTTACACTGACTGGAAAATGACAATGAGAAGAGGAAACAAGTCTTAAAAAATATCTTGAACAATCATTCTGTGAAATTCAGTGGAAATAAGATGAGGCGTGATGAAAGACTGATTGTTGATTCAGTACGAACCCTTTTCACATTCCTGGTACAGGTCAACTTCCTTGTTAATTTCACCAAAGACAAAAGTCAGTTTAGACTTGAAATGTCAACACTCTTTCTACAGATGCTGCCAGACCTGTCGAGTTTCTTCAGCACTTTCTGTTTTTATTTTCACCCCTAATGAGTCTGGGAACAGGATTTTGTGTTAATAGTTATACTGTTGACTTAAAAACAGTAAACATAGAATAAATATGAATGGAAATTTGCAATGTGCGCCATCATGAGATAATGTTAAATAGTGAAGCAAAATGCGAAAATAAACCACAGAAAGTGTCTGAAGTTTTCTGAAGAAGGGTCTAGGCCTGAAACGTCAGCCTTCCTGCTCCTCTGATGCTGCTTGGCCTGCTGTGTTCATCCAGCTCCACACCTTGTTATCTCAGATTCTCCAGTATCTGCAGTTCCTACTATCACAGAAAGTGTCAGTTCGCACACTCTCCGAGATTTCTGAGCACTTATAGTCATAAAGTAGTACCATCCAGGCTCAAGAGAAGTTTCGTTGGCCAAACTCTTCATGTGGATGGTATGAATTGTGGGAATTAGTAAATACTAATTACATTTCACGTGTTACGTAATGTAAAACTACATGCACAAGGCATTTATGTGACATACCTGGGCCGATTCAGGACAGATGTTTTGATAGTCACTCAGAGCTAGTAGAGGTAGAACTAGTTGCCTTCCTTTCATTTGTTTCAGCTGCAGCACAAAAACAAATCTCTATTAAAAAAAATACAGCACTAACAGCACAGAAGTAAGCAGCCAGCAGTTTGTTTTGTTTCCATGGTTAAGCTGATACTTGGCTTACCTTTCGTGTCTTTAAATAAAGCAGCCTCTGGAGCTTTCAGTCAAGTGCTAATGGATCTTGTAACTATGCCAAATCTAAATGACACCTCAGATTGCAAACTACAAACCACAGTGCTCTGAATTCCACCCAATACAATGTAGTTTCAAAGACTAGGTAAAATCCCTGCTGGGATGTCAATAGTGAACTATTCCAGATAGTGGCTCACCTACCTTGGTAGATCCTTTGTTCTAAACATTGAGTTCAGTGAAACTGTTTACTGTTTCTGTAGTTTGGGCTTCCCAGATAGTTAGTTATCAATGAAATGATATAGTGACAATGGTTTCTTCACTGCAGGGATCATGGACTTGCCAGATGAGGAACACAGTCAGTCAGAGATGATTAGTGGGGGCTGTAAATTTAGATTGTTAACCCTTTCAGTCAATTACATTCATGGTATTTTTCCCATTTGTATTCTTTAGGAGCTGTGGGGCTAATGTCAAACTCACATAAAAACAGATGGTTGCACTTGATCAGGGCATTGCAGTGTAGTTGCAAAAGCATTGCATTGTTGCAAACCCAATACTCAGAGAGCACTGATGGGATGAATCTTGAGATCTCAACTCATGGTCAGTTTAATTAGGTCATCAAAGATTCTGCAAAGTGGCACCAGATCACCTCATCTTGGTAACTCTCAACAAGATGAAACTGTCAGATTTAGGTGTGAATTTCTAGCACTTTGTTTTTATTTCAGATTTCCAGTATTTTGCTTTTATTTGAAGTTTAGTTTCTATTGGTTGCACTTGACAGACTTGTCAGGGTATAGAATCTACTTGCTTCTAGAATCTAGAACTGTCATTGTGGATTGGCAATCCATTACAGTCACTGTCCCAGTTAATTTCCTTTGATCCTCTGTGATGGGTGTACTTGACTTGGCCTCAGGCTTTGGAAGAGCAAAAAAATTAGCAGCGGTGTCTTCCTTGATTAGTTTCCAGTGATATCTCCTGCAATGTGTGTATGTGAATATGTCAGGTAGGGAGGAGATAGGACTGTGCTCTGAGACCTCCATCAATACTAAGAATATTCACAAAATTAAGAGTGGCCACTTTGATAAAAGCTGCCAGTAGCAGTTAGCATGAGCCAAGTGAGGATTAAACTTAATAGAAAAAACAGCCTAAACATTGTTGTTGTGAATATTAGCAGATTAGCACTCAACGTATGCGTATGACATTCCTCTGTTTGCTATTTCAACATTTAAAGTATCAACAGACAGGGTAATATCTTATGAGGAAAAGACATTTTCAAGGAACTGAGATAACAAGATGTTTCGGGTCCGGTGACCTTTCCTCAGAACTGTGCTTAAGAAGGTTCACCCACCCAGAAACGTTAACTCTGATTTTTTTCTTCACAGATGCTGCCAGACCTGCTGAGCTTCTCCAGCAACTTCTGTTTTTGTTCCTGATTTACAGCATCTGCAGTTCTTTCGGTTTTTATCCAAGAAAGCACAACAGAGCAATGCATCATTGAACCCAAGAGGCCAGAGATAACCTTGTTGAAACCCACTTCCAGGATGAATAAGTGGAACTAGGACTTTGTTTAATTATTAAATATGCTAATGGTGATATGGCAAGCAGTCCCTGCTTTGTGCAAAGGATAAGTGGACCTTGTTATTTTTACTGTTCTTCACCTTATGTGTTGCTGAATAATAAATATCTCATTATCCACCTGATTAGATGCTTGATGTTTTTGGGTGATTTTAACGTATTTACACATTTCAGGTCCTGCTGACCTTCAGAGAACACATTAGTTTGTAAGACAGTACATTTACATCACATGACACTAATAGTAGGGGCTCGACAGGCTTCCATCAGGAGATCATATCGGAGAGTTACACTCTTTTCTCTCTCAGGAATCCTGCAGGTCACGAGGAATCTGGAGGAATTTCCTTTTGACCCTTTCATCTTCAGTAACCGTACAATATTTCAGAGTGTCTGCAGACTGCTAACTTACCCTGATATGATTGAGCATCCTGTAGGACAGCATTGAATGCGTGAGAGGCAACATACCTTGGAAACTCAAAACTCTATGAGGCAGAGTGGACATGTGAACTGCCTATTGTACACCTTCCAGCCTTGAAAGGCAGTGCAGTCCCTCTAAGAGCTTGTAATGAGAATGAGCCTTTCCCCTAGAAATGTGTGGAATCATCACTGATTCCATGTTCTCAAGGTGGATGTAAGGGTGGAATGACTTGTGCAGGAAAGGACAGGGTCTTTCACATTGTGCTTAGTTTCAGTGTTGTCCACATTAAAGTGCAACATCTTGACTACAGTCCTGCATGTCACAGTTCAAGGATCTGAGGCTATCTGTAGTTAAGGAGGCAGTTGCTTGTGTGGGTTCAATGCCCGCACTGGCTGAGGTTACCATGAAGGAATTTCCTTCTCAACATCTCCCCTTGCCTGAGGTACAGTGGCTGTCAGGTTAAGTCACCATCAGTTCTCTTTCTGTAATGAGAGAGCAGCCCTATGGTGTGGTCAGAATATGTTGACTTAACTGACCATGCTTTTACTTTTAAAAGCAGTCAAATTGATGGAATGCTGGGTTTGAAATTCTGTCACCTAGATTCTGAGTGTTTGTTTTTGTAAAGAAAATACACACTCTACAGAAAATCTCAATCAGGCATGTGAGTTAAATAATGGTATAGTTAAAACTGTTGTGTGCGTGTATTTATTACCAAACAACTACCACATTGAGCAAGGTAATTAAGAAAGGATTAACTCAAAGGTCTGCTTTAATTAATATACAACAGGATTAGTAGTGATGCACTTTAACTGATCCAGCAATGGATTAATTATTCAATCCTCCTTCAGAATATCAATGTTGTTACAAGTAATTCCTACCTGCTGAGTTTTCTATTTATTAATTACTTTTTGAAACTTAGGGGGCGATTTTCACCTGCTGAACACCATCTTGTTGGCGTGAAGGAAGCAGTATCAGAATGACAGCAAAAGAAATGCTTGACGCGCAGTTCCCTCGATACGATTTTTGAACAGCCAGTTGTGAGATCAGAGTGCCATTTTGGTTTTCAATCACTAAATTCCTCAACTTACTCACAAATCATGGGGAGGATGAGGTTAGAAGATATAAGTATCTTAGCTATTCTCGGTTGAGGAGGCATTTTGCTTCTACATTGTAGTTTGGTTACTTAGACAACTTCAAAGTCATAAATTCCTATTCAATATTTTGCATTTAAATGGCTTTAAGCAAAACAATTTCTTAGATGGATTTTTTTTCTAGAGAATTATTTTCTGGCCAGAGGAACAACCACAGGAACGTACCAATGGAGTTCCAGTTGTTGGGAGGACTAATAGAAAGCGCCGTGCTTTCTGTCCTTACTCACCTAGGAAATCAAAGTTGTGCTTCTCAGCAGATAAACATTCTCATCGTTTTTGCCAGTAAACTACTTGTGGGATTTTGTTCAGTTTGCAGGATTCCCAATAGTCCAGGCCCAAGTTCATTGGATTGCAACCAATGCATTCCGTAGACATCTTCAAATGAATCCAGCACTTTTATGAATTGCAATTGTTGATGCACATCTGGTTGGTAATGAACAAAAACCAATCATGCAGGTCTGTGCCTGCTTTCATTTTCATGTGTGCCAATCCTCTAATCTTTAACCCTGAATAGCAATTGAGAGACAGGCTGTTTGGCAGCAAAGGTTACATTGCATACTCAATTCATGACTCCTTTCTGGAAGTCCAGTTCAGTAGCCAAAATGCATGACAATCAAATCAATGGCTCAATGACAGCTCTCATTGACCAGACCACTGGAGACTACTATGGTAGTGCAATGGTAATGCAATGATCCTGATGGTTGGACAGGTCTGGTGGTTTCTCGTAATGCAATCCATAAAAGTGTGCCATGGTAGCTTCTGCATGTTACATGTGAACAGGAGTAGGCCATACAGCAGCTCTAAGGCTGTTCCAAAATTAAATGTGAAGACTGCTCTCTGTCTTATCTCCACATTCCATGCTACTGTTATCTGATAATAATTTGGTGACCCAACTTTGGAAAATTACAAATTACCCTAGCATCCTCAGCTTTTTGGTAGGGAGATTTTTTTATGTGAAAATTCCTTCCTAGTTTCATTCTGATTGTGCTCCGTTGTTCTGGATTCCACCACCAGAGCTTCTCCATATCTATTATGATTTGACTGGGAGGAATGTGAAGCAGACTGGGAGAGTAGATCTGTGTGAGAAGGGCAGCAGTGGGCAGAGATGAAAACCAGTGGCATAGAGCCCTTCCATGTTATTGGAAAGCAATGAACTGGACTCTGAGCTGTGGGCATTCAGGGAGGGGTAGAGTTACCGGGGCACTGTTTCAGGAGGCTGTCACACACCTTAGATTAATTGCACCAAATTTAATCCATGGTGAAGGACAGGAGGGTATGACTGCGAGTGAGGCAGATATTAGCAGCCAAAATTTAACTTTGGAAAAGCCTCAGCCAGTGCCCTTGTCCAGTCATTACAAGGTTCTTGATCCCAAAGTAGACAAAGGCAGAGACTGCAGGGAGGATTAGTGAACTGACTAAAGCACTATACTACTGGGTACCATTCAAGTAGGAGAGAAAAGAGAAATGTAGCTGTAATAGGGGGTAACATCATTAGGGGTACAGATACCATTCTTTGCTGTAAAAACTGAGAGACCCAAAACCTGTGTTGTCCACCTGGTGCCAAGATTCAGGACATCTGTTCTGGGCTGGAGATGAATTTGGAGCAGGAGAGAAAGGAACCAGTTGTTGTGATCCATGTAGATACTAATGACATAGGTGAGAGTAGGAAGGAGGATCTACTTGAAGAGGCAAACAATAATCAAAGTGTGACAGAGGGGCAGAAAGTATAAGCAGAAGAATGCAGC